GAATATGAGCAGGATAGATCAATCCAAAGTTGCAATTAATTCTCATAGTACCAAACAATGCCATCCCAGTATATATGACTTGGCAGAATCTGAGATACAAGTCATCAACATTGCGATAATTGTCAAACAGTGCAGTCCAATCAACTTCAGATAAATACTTGTTGAGGGAAACGTAATCAAAGTGCACAAAATAGGGTGTAGGATAAGATGAGACAAGCTGAAAGTTATCTTTATACTCAAATGTAATGATGCTATGATCTGCAGAAGCCAAAGGTGGATAGAGTCTGACACTGTGAACGTTTTCCGAAGTAGACAATATGATGTCCAGAGTACTATCAGCGTGGGTAGGATATAAGACATGCTGTTTCAATTCAGCATTAATGAAGAAATCAAGGAACGGTTTAGATTCATGGCTAATGTGCTTCATATTGAACCAATCAATATGTAGATTGAAATCGCCCACAATAAGTGTAGTATTTCCATCGGAAGTTAGATTGGAGAGAAGCTCAATCAGCTGTTTATCATCACCCTGCGTGGAGTTAGGTGGACGATACACGATTACGAACTTGACAGTTTTCAGACTCGACAAACAGAAAAGTTCCACAGTCAATAAATCAGAACGCGAAGCAATAAATCTTGTCACTTGTTTGATGTAGAAGCAGCCTTCAACAAGGCAGCATACACCACCACCTTTTCGCTTCGGTCTGTCAGTGCGAAATATAGAATATGGCAGATCACCGATCAGCTCAGAATCGTGTACCTTTGGCTTAAGCCAGGTTTCAGTCAGAAACACGAGATCAGGTTTAGTATAAATCAGAAGCGAATGCAAGTGATGCAAATTTACAATACTACGTGCGTTCAGTAAAACACATTTCAGTATCCCAGGATTGCCATGCGTAGTCATTAGTTTACCGAACTCCTACTAGGAAGCTCCGAGACACGCTTCAGTTGGCCGCGATAAACGACCCACTCCTTCTCGGGTTTCCCAGCGTTGAGTTCCTTAGCCTGCTGCCTAAGTTCATATTCGGCCCTCCTTTCCTCGGTAGTCATACTTTTACGAATGAATATATTTGAGAAGGGCGAGTTACGAAGCCGATACGAATTTGCTAGAGCTTTTTGCCAATAGTAAGTTGACGGAAATTTTACCTTGACTAGCCGAGGACGATCGGGTGTTGCCTTCCCAATGCGAAGGATTTCACTTGGGCAGCAGTCAATATCAAGAACGTCCATGATATCGTCCACCCTAATCCTAAGGTCCCTAGCCCTCTCCGAAGCGCGGAGATCATTCGACGGCTCCCGTATCCCACTTATGACAATTGTACGTGATCGTTTCTCAGCCTCAAGTTCACCAGAGACCGCATTCTGGAGTCTCTGCGATAGGATGTCTAGCAATTGATCGATCACTGGATCCTTGTTCCTATCCTTGATATGCAGCAGAAGGTCTGAGGCCGACATATTAGAATAGTCAGCACTGGTGACCTCATTTTGCATGCCAACAATAGGAGCAGGAGTCGATGCAGAGCTAGAAACACCCCTACGAGATGAACGAGAGGCTTTCGGAGGCATGATCACGATCAAGGAACTCAATATAGTCAAAGGCCAAGAAAATCAATACAAAAAGGCGCAAGCGATAGCGATTCCTACCCAGTAGAAGGTAACCGGATGAGAAAAAAACAAAATCGAACCGAAAATACGCAGGTGAGAGAGTTGCTAGCAACAGAATCAAACGTAGGCAGCGTCAAAATGCAAGAATGGAAGAGAAAAAAGTTGTAAAATAAAAACGGCCAGAGCGGGCAAAAAAGGCAGCCGCTCACTGGCGCGGCACAAAGAAGAATGGAAGATATACCAACTGAAAGATTGGGACATGTAGAATCGTTGAAAACAGTCTCCTTTCCCCAGTTTTCCTAAGATTTGGGATATGAGGAATTTTAATTAGCTACGATATCACCTGATATTGTGTAATCTTTTGCGATCCATTTGGAGAAAAAGAGGGAGGAGAGTTTTGTGATACCGTACCACAATCTGGCTATCACAGTTTTTTCCTTGTTGTTGTCAAACGATTTGGCACACGCCAGCATCATTGATTAGATCAGTTTTCTGCTGTTGTGGAACTATTTCCTGCGACAATGTTCACTGATAAAATGCTGGTTAGTCAAAAGTCCAGAGATTCCAATTTTTGAGTTTATAGGTCGTTCCATAAGTTCGTAGACTTCATAAACTAACGAAGTGACAGATTTTGTCAAAATTCAGTCAACAATGTATGTTCCGTTGTTGTGCACAACCTTCTGCCACCTTGCAGTCATGTTCTCACTCAAGTTTTGCAACAATCCAACAAGTCTAGTCCCCAAAGGTCGTCTAAGCAGCGCAGAGATCGTCTTCATAACCGAAACTAACATGTTCATATGATTTGCGATAGTTCGGGGCAAATGATATTTTCCTAGAGTGAGATCTCATGTTTGGATGCTGATGTAGGCAAAGTCTTGAAGGACAGCTCTGATGGCGATTCGTCTTGCGAAGCCTTATGTCGTCATGCTGGAAAACTAAGAGGAGGAGCGAAGCCATACTGCAGGAAAGTGTCAGTAGACCTGTCTAATGAGACTTTCCTGCAGTATGGCTTCGTTTAGAAAGTGCAGATGAGTTGCACACGGTGCGACCGTTTGTTCTTTAGCGATTTCCAGTGCACGTCTTCTTGTGAGTTCTGCGAAAAGGCTTGTCCAGGGGAGCCCCTTTTTGAGTCAACGTCCGAATGGCATTTTCGCCAAAAAAATCTATTAAAAATGCTTCTCTCTGCAGGCAAAAATGTGGAATTGGAAGGTGGAAGGAAGGTGGAATGCTCCTTTTGTTTTTGAAAATTCTAATTTTGGAAGCAAAGACAAGGAAGTAGATCAGCTTTTCATTAAACATAATAGGTATATTTTGAAGAGCATGCTCAGTTCTTCTAAACGATATGCGCAGCTTTCCGCAAATCGACGTTCTGCAAAGAAATGAGGAAAGAATGAAAATTTTATGAACTTATGAAACGACCTGGTATTTTGTTGTCAAAATTCCACTTCCGAGAAAGACAGTAGGCCTGAAGTATGACATTTTTCCAGATAACGCTTTTGTTACGATGCTTTCTGAAAGTGCATTATGCGCGTTGAGTTAAAGAAGGCAACAGCTGGCGTTTTTTACACACAGAAAGTTCACCATCAAGTATCTGTAATCAGTTCCCCATATTGCTTGCTCCCTGTCTCAGCCTTAAGTCAAAGGGTGTCATCCAGTTGTCGGCCTAAAATGAAAGGCATCACAGCAGTTGCTCCGCATATCGCTACCATACTTTAAAGGGAACTACACCGTGTAACACAGATTTACTCGCAACATTCTTGCTGCAGCATGCAGAGGATTAGCAGTTTCTTTCCTTAGAGTGTGCTATAAGCTTGAGTTAAACAGTTAGACAGTTGTTGAGCATGATCATCACATGTTTTAGGTAAGCAAAGAGTTGATGATGGTGATGTTCTAAAAGATAAGAAAAATTATTTTCATGCGTATCACTTCTCGTGCACACAATGCAAGTCAGAGCTTGATATTTCCATAAAGTCTATCAAAAAATACTTATCTAACAAAAATTCACAAAGGGCTGAGCTAACCAAGGATGCAAGACTTGTCAACGAGGAATGGCTCTGTTTTCGGTGCTTTGATATGCAGTGCGAGGTTTGTGCTCGATGTCACAAGGCAATTGATGGGAAAAATGAACGCAGTACAATCGCTTTGGGGAAGCATTTCCATGTGGAGGTAATGTCTTTACAGAAACTTACGACAAGTTTTTAAAGAGTCTTTATCGCGCTGAAGGTCCTTGCTCAATGACAGTCCTCTCAAGCAAAATAGTTCTCTACGATATTATTTGACCATCATGATTTGTTTGTTTTTTCTCTTTGGCTGCACTGATTGTAGAGCTTAGCTACCTTCAATTTAAGCGGCCTAAGTAGGCAAAGTTTTAACATAGGTTTTCTTCCTCCACATGTTGGTTCTCCGGTTCACCCTTTCTGTTTTTGGGAATTGCTTGTTGGGCTTGATCAACTTTTTCCATATGCATCTTCTCTCAAAGTTCTGCTCTTTCCCCAAGAATTGATTGATTGGGCGGATTTTGTCCAGAGACTCGACTCTCTCATTTACAGTTGAATATATTGAGTTGATAATCAAACAGCACGGTTGCTGGAAGCAGGGAGCATAAGACAGACTCTATCGAGCTTTACCGAAGATGATTTCATACAAGACCTAAACAACTCACTTGTAAACAACTATCCTGAAGCTGGACTTCAGCTGACTCATTAGATGTTTCATGGCTCTTTATTACTGTCTATGTTCACAGTGCTTTCGTTAGTTGTACTACATTTGGCACGCCCCTGTGCGTATCGAATAAAATAGAACAAAATAGATAAAATAGTGGCCAGGCATGGTGCGCATTAGGGTACAAGCTGAAGCGTGCGATAATCTCATGGACAACAACGTAGGTTTTGATGAAGATGTTTGATGAAAATGGACAAACTTCATAAGGCTTGCGAAAGAAGTTTGAAAAGAGCAACTCTATATGTAAATGAGGGTTGTTTGGAAGCTATTTAGGAGAACAGTAGTAAGCAGATTACATTTCAGAAAAATGCTGAATCTTTCTAGAAATTTGCGATAAATAAGAGGCTTGATTTAACAATAGAAACGCACACCCAGCGTCATCTGACTCACGAGACATTCTGTTGGTGTCCGATCAAGCCAGTTTTGGGAAAGAATATTTTTTAAAGCATAGTCATATTCGTGCGGCACTTCGCGGTAAGCAAAGAATTGAGCAATATGCAGAGAAGGGCAATTGTTTTGAATTTAGTGTATATGAGGGTTGACCTGTTGTGAATGTAACTTTTGATCAAGTGATATAACAACTATTTCTGAATTGTAATAAAATCATCCAAAAACATTATTTTTACAATAATTTGTTCAAGCATTTTCGATGCGCCGGATGTGACATCGCATTCATGGGTACGAAACACATCGAACACAATGGAAAAGCCTACTGTGAAAGTGATTACGTGGAGGTGTGGAGATTAAAGGCATTGATGGTGAAAGTTCCACAAAATGACGCGTTATTCTTCAGCTGTTTGGAGAATTCTGTTGCCAGTGTAGCTGTGTTCTTTCAAAAGAAAGCATCAATGTTATGGGAAAGAAATGGTGCATTGATTGTTACAGATGTGTCGCCTGTGACAGGATATTGAAGTGCAGGTACTTTCAAATAATCACTTTTTTACCAAAAAAAACAGGACTGATTTTAGAGACAAAGTGCTCAATTTTGATATGCGCCCCATGTGCAAGAAATGTTATCGTCGGAAAGATTTTCGAAAGCATTTAAAAGAAGGACCTCATATCTGACTTGCTTGTTTGCTGGACAACGGTATGAAGACCAAACACTATGCTTCTAGTTTTTTTTTATAATCAAATTCTGTTAAATCGAAAAAATTGTGCTTGCTATCAATAAAGTCAAAGTTATAATAACCGTCCAAAAGCACCTCTGTCACGCACAAACTTTTCGCGGGAGATTCAGAACTTCAAAAACTGTCGAGGATCTTGCATTTCTGCTCGACGTCGCTCAAGCTAAGTCGTCTGACATTTTCACCGCACTATAGTCCATCCAACTGCTCTGTATGGCAGCCGTGTACGCGAGAAGACGAATCAAGGACTGTCCTAAGATGGACGGCAGCATCACCAAGATGGACCATGTCACCAACAATACCATACGAGCTACAGTGAAGGTAGCGTTTATTGTTAAGAAGATAAGAAAGGAAGCGTCGCCGAGTACGGCATGTTAAAGACGAGCAAGTAATCATGTTGCTAAGTTGGCTATGTCGGTGGAAATACCCAAAGAGACGATGCTGAAGTTGAGATGGTTGGACAAAGTGGAAGCAGGCAGCAACAACTTAAACAATTGTGTGTGTAAGGTCAAGCCGTAGATCGAGTAATGAAAGAGACTAACTAGATAAAGCAACAGACCTCATTTGAGGGAACTACGCAAATTAAAAAAAAGAAAAGGAAGCCATATTTACTTATGTGATGTGTCGACTACCACTAAGAGCAGGGAATGCTTGGACTTCTTCATAATTCCTTCAGCTGTTGAAAATACATGTATCATACAGTTAAAAGTTTCATCTAAGGTATACGCATAATGCTGCATCTACCTTTAGGTCTTTGAAAGTTCCTATCACCGTACTAGTGATGGCTGTCATGTGAGGTAAGTACGTAAATTTTAATAGAATTAAGAGTGGTTTTTGAAGTTTGATCCAAACCGCATTAGCTCCAAGCAAAAAAAAAACACGAATAACTGCACATACAGACAATGATATAATCATAACTTATAATAATAGCTAACAAAATGGTCAAAAGTCGAAGTGGCCACTTCAAGGAAGCTGCCTACCATTCGATGCAGCATTGAACGCTGATTTCGAACTTGTATACCATATCTGCTTAGCCCTTTTTTGGCGAAGTTTATGAACAGATTAAGTGCGAATAATTAGTACATAAAAACTGCGAAATTGAGCACATTGTTACTGTTAGCACTTTCAGCTCATCTTTAGGTTTAAAATTTACAAAATATTCTACTTACACACCTACTTACATGTGGCCAAATATGGCTCTGTACGCCAAAATGCGCTTTGCATGCAGGATTTCTTAGCAAAATAACGGCATTTAACGGCTCATAACTACGCCCACATAGGCGCTAAGCAGATATGGAATACATTGCGAAGTCAGCGATCTATGCTGCATCTAATGGTATGCATCTTGTTTAGGTTGGCCATTTCGGTTTTTGACATTCATTTGTAAGGTTGATTACGCGCAGGGTCGAGCAAGAGGTGTGGCAGACAAGCGCCGAATACGACCTCCCCCCCCCCCTCCCCACCAGCATTATCGTTTGCCTATCATATTCGTAATTATCATGTCAAATAACCACCATGTGCCAAGTTTTAGCAAATTCTGAGAGTTCACAAATTGGACCACCCAACTGAAGTGATCATTTTCATACATGATTAACCATATTTCAAAAATGAATTAGCTAACTCCTTTTTTACTCAGTACAAAGCATTTCCCTATTCATCGATATCATGAATCCTGTTTCAATCATTATCAAACTATGGAATTAAAAGCACGCTTCCAATGGCTGCGCTTTCATCAGCTTTTACTCAAAGCGAAGAAGACGAACCAGGCCTAAATTACTCCTATGAAAACTGCAAGACTCAGTCTATCAAAATAATGTATTTTGTCCGTTAAAATTCTTTTCGGGGACAAGTCAATGGGGTGTGGCACAACCCCTAAAAAGCTATGGCCGCCACAACTTTTTAGGGGTTGCGCCACACCCCATTGACTTACCTTCAAAGCATTCAAATCTCTGTCTTTTTTATATGATTGCTACTGCTAAACCATCTTCTCCATATAGCAGGAACTTCACTCAAAATTGTTTCTCCTAGGGAAAAATATAGTCATTCCCTTAGCTAAGCAAACGGAAAACATCGCAAAAATATTGGATACGGTATCTGCGCTACTATGTGAAATGCGAGGGAAGGCGGCAAGAATAAGTGTATTTGATAGTCTAATTCTCGTAACTTTCACAAAGTGATTTGAGCCTGGTTGGCCTTCTCTAGTCTGAGAAATTAAGAGCGAAAAGTGGGACAGACGAGATTTTGGCTTGCTCTTAATTCCAGAGTTTGGAGGTTAGTTGGAGCGAGATTCCTAATGTGAGCAAAGAAGTAGTAGTACTTTGTAATGTGTGTAAAAAGAAGTAGTTTACATACCTTTGAAATAAGGTTAGCATGTTCGAAAATGACTACCTCACTTGAGTGTCCAATATTTGGAAACCTCAAAATTCGCTGAAGCTTGACTCGCAGGGGTCATTTGACATGCTAATAACGAAAATGATGCTCTTATGCCTTTAGGATTCTTTTAATATGCTTACTGTGCGTGTGCAACGATAGGCTAAAACATCAGCGCTGGTATCTTGCACAATGGGCCACTATCAACTCGATAACGCCCCCTCTTCCTGATTTCTTTTTTTTACGACCCCCAGGTGTGGCGTGCCACACCTCACGCTTGACCCTGATTACGTGTGTGTTGTGTGTGTTGTGTGCGTGTGTGTGTTGTGTGTATTATGTGTGTTGTGTGTGTTGTGGCGTGTCTGTGTCTGTTTCTGTGTCTGCGTCTGTGTCTGTAACAAAATTCATAGAGCAAGTTCCAGTTAACGTCCTGAGCCTGAATTTCGCACAGCATATGCTACCAGTAAGAAAGTTTATCATGCAAAACCACGAGCGGATTCGTTGCGTGGATTTCCCAGAAACTGTACGTCAAACGGATTCGCTTGACTTAAGTATGTATCACTATATCACTCCGAAAGTATCACTATTCTTGCAAAACTGTGAATGTGTTTGGCAAGTAAATGTGACCGCCATAGACTTTAGCCCAAAAAAAATCAAAAGTTGCGACTTTACATGAATTGCGCCAAAAAGAATTGGTTGCGTGAATGGTCAATTTGTTGAGGTTTTACCTGAGCATTTGAAAAGATTTTGGCACAGTAATGTAGCTCCCGGTGATTGTTGTCCCAATCCATAAAAATCTCAAAACCTATTCAAACTTGCAGTTGTTCTTCTTTGAAAAGTTGCGTTTATGCGAAATCACCGATCTTACTTACTATAATGCTTTCGGAATGAGTAGTTGTTTACAATCTATTCGTAATATAGCGCAGTGAGTTCCAGTGCCATACTTACGCGAGAATGAGTAAGGTATGTACATAGTATTATAGTAGAATCAGTGCGAGCATCTGGCAAGCAGAGGTGACGCACTGGTACAAGATAATCTGATTTGGGCCAGTAGCAGTTGTGTATGATTAGGTCATGACACGAGATTGGTACACTTTTTGCGTGCTTCTCAAAAAATTCTAGACTTTATCAAGTTATAGTACCAGGCATATAAGAGGAAGGGTCGAAGGGCTATCCAATGGCATTTAAATTCTCACGGACATTGATTACAGTGAATTCAAAGGTACTTTGTAACGCCTGAAATTATCTAATCCTTCCTTTCCATATTTTCAGATAGTAGATGGTATTTGGAAGCACTAATACTATACGAACGCGGTTTCGAATTCAGGCTTCGAGGATGACACTGCCAAATTGTTCGGGAATCGCAAATATGTCAAAAACACTGTGAAAATGATGTTAGCCAAAACTGGGATTGGTATAAAGTTTATTGACCAACGTTTCGGCTTCTCGTCTTCGTCAGAGCCGGCATGAGGAATTAATTGGTAACCCACGCGGATATCACCACGCCTGAGAAAGAGAAATCTAAGCTTTGATTTTGGTCATACATTGTCATAGTCGCTTACCATATAAAAATGACCTCTTGATAGCACGACCGCGGGTGGAGGACATTAGGTCGCCGAATTTGGAAGAGTCCCGCGCGGATTCCCTGCAGGAACGCATGTCCGCGTATGTACAAGGGTGCGTATTTGTCGCAAATGACCGCGGGGACCGCCCTCTTTCGGCGACCTAATGTCCTCCACCCCACGACCGCTACATGACAGATTATCAACGTATTGAATGTGACGGTCAATAAGTTGCCTTTGATACGGAGATGATCCTCTTCTGCAAGGCATTTATCTTTACGGTTGATTTGTGGACTACTTGCATAATCATAATCTTTTTTAGGCTTGCGAGGCATCTTGAATATGCTAGGATTTTCACAGTTACCTCAAAACTTGATCTTTCATACCTTAGTAGGATGTGCGTTCCTAACGGAGTAGAAGCTCGTTGTTTATCGACCGTCCTCTTTCGGCAAACACAAAGGGGATGAGCTGTTTGACGTACGTAGTCGTCTGCGCGAACGCTTCAGGAAATTCAGTAGACTATCTCGGTTGACATCCAATCTCCGCTTTTTGGGCATGCGCTGCAATTAGCTGTGGTCCAGCTGCTGTCATACATGCGGTTTTTTACTAATTGTAAGATGCGCTACCAGCTGTTAGGTGGCGTTTCTACTATCGAGACCGGATCATTGAAACCACATTGTTTGACTTCGTTATGCCGTATTTATTTTAGTGCATTAAACGGGACGTAAAGAGCAATCTGTTTGTTGTTAGTTTCGTTTCGCAAGCTTCTTCCGTGTTTTGCCGTTTCTATACAGTTGAAGTACCCAATCGGAGGAGCTAAAGCGCAAGTTCGAGTGAATCTTTTCTCTTCTGTCCACAAAACTGAGATGCTGTCTGGAGCATATTCAATAACGGCTCTCTTCGTCCATAGTGAATGAGCTGATTGAAATCCAATTGAATTTTTGATTTGAAAATTGTTATATTTCTATTCGTATTCTTATCGCTGCGTTTCCGGCACCATTTCGTCATGTGTGTTCCTAAAGAGATATTCACATGAGTGTTTAGAACGGTAGCAGTTGTGGTCTGTCTTCTCTCATGTTCATAATTCTGGCTCCTTGTTTGAGTAGTTCGAAACATGTTCCGAACAGCTTTTTGGACTTGTGAACAGGAGAAAAAAGGATCAATCGAGCTTGCGCATTATATAGCTTCTTCGATTTGTGTATTGAAAATCTACGGGAGCAGCAAAACTCGAAAAATCTTGCGAAACAAAACTAACAACGAATAGATTGCTTTTTACGTCCCGTATATTTCCACGAAAATAAATACAGCAATGCGCCAAGTTTTGAAAAACTGTACTTGATGATTTGGTCTCGATAGTAGAAACGCCGCCGAACAACTGGAAGCGCATCTTCTTAAGAAACCGCATGTATGGCACCAAGTACCACACCTAATTGCACCATATGCCCAGGAGAAAAAAGCGGACCTTTTTATCGTAGGGTTCCGAAAACTACCAAGGGGAAATTAGGCCTCGAAAAATAATGGGTTTCTTCATTTCATTTTTTCGTTTTTCTTTGAATTGAAATCTTTCCACGAGTGAAAACAAATCAACAGAGTGAAAGCCATTCTTATAACTGAACTTCGGCTATACTGCCAAAGCCTTGCTGCCACTATTCTCTACCTTGGATTAACGCATATTTTATTTGGCTGTTAAATTTTCTACAGGGTTTGATCTGAGTTTCATATCGTTCTAAGGGACACCCGAACCGTAGAGGCACTCGAAACGTTCCATCTCAGATACTAATATTTGGCAAGAAGTTAATCATCCTTTTCGTAGATTAAGGTGATCTGAAATCATCTGCACTTCTGTAGAATGGGTGAAATTTTTAATCACTTTGATTAAAAATTTCACCCATTCTACAGAAGTGCCATTCCCTTTTTGGCGAAGGCATGAGGGAATTGTAAATTGAATCTAAAATCTCTTTAGCTGTTACTCTACTTGTTTTTCAACTGAAGAAATGACTACCTGATGAATGCCGCTCATAATCAAACACATTCAAGACTGGAAGGCTTTTATGACGGATTTTATCTTAATATCAGTAAGCAATAGGACAAGTTTCTTATTGTCAGACAAGAATCTACTTTCATAAGCACTGCACAGTCTTCATTAGACTTTTGTGAAGTTGCTTCTTGGTTTCCATATATCCTTTCATACTCAGTTACGTCAATGTTCGAATTGTAGCCGCGATCGGATGTGATGTTTGACTTTTGAACAAGTACGAAACTGAAGATACTATAAAGAACCAATCACGCGATGATTGAACGTTCAGTTATTGCTCGAATTCTAAGCTTCGAAAGTGCTGTTCGATGCAGTGGTGCATGAGCTGTCAATGCTTGCTTCGAAGAAGTTTTGCTTGAATGAACAAATGCAAATGCTTAGGCATGATTAGCTCGTTACCAGCAAAGTTTTGCGTCGTATTTACCTCAGAAAACATCTGAAGTATCTCAACAATAACATTGTTGCCGTAAACAATTTACGCCTGCTTGAAAATGAAGAATTAATTCTAAGTCATTAGATTTTTCCACCATAACGCTATTCAGAATTCCCTTTAGAAATGCTTCAACCATCATTGAAAACATTGGTTTTGTTTTAAACAAGAGCTTGTGAATATTAGAATTTCGAATGGCAATATCTGCATAGGACAAGCATTTATCTGAGTGGATCCTGATGAGCTACGAGTTTATACAGAAATTGACCTTTCAAAGCTACTTCTGTAGAGCAAAGGCTGCAGTATACCACTGCCCTTCTTCTCTTAATTTTTTTCCAACTCAACTTCAAATCTCTCAATTCCGCTTCTGTAATTCTAAAATCACTGTAATCTTGCTCCTTGCAATGCTCTTCATGTCCGGAGGCATTCACCTTTTATCAGTGGACCTCACTGCGAGAGAATGGCTAATAAAGTTTTTGAGACGTGAGATATAATAATGATATATGATGCAAGCATTTTGTTTGTATTTGTAAATAAGTGAATTGATTTCATCTTTTAGAGATCAAAGTAGCTTTGTGAAAACATTTCGAGTTCTGTTAAACGACTTTCCACTCTTGATGACATTGATTCTTAGGAACCCAAATAAAAACGTAGTGATTTCTCAGTCAGGTTCCGTATGGAGCAGCAAGCGATGGATATTATCGTAGCCAGTACCTGGTCTGCTATAACGATATATTCGATAGCAGCAAATATTTTGATCGTTGCTTTGGTCAGCACAAACATCGAGCTACGAACATTCACCAGGTCAGCTTTTACTTGGATCAAATTTTGTGAATTTACTTAGCCTATCCTCATCACTTTTTTCTTTGCAGCTACTGGATCATAATTTCGTCTTCCCTATGCGAGACAAGTTTGGCACTGATTACTTTCTGTTATGTGATTCCTTCCATCCTATTGCATGATACGTTTTCCACAATCGGGTCTACCAGTGATCTTCTCATGCTGTTATTCTATCGTCTCTTTGGATTTTCTGAAGTTTTCCATCTTGGTTTGATGGCAATAAACAGGTGGATAAGAGCGATTTTGCCTTACCCACCTTGCCACAACAATTATTTCAGATTCGTCTGTCTATTGTTTCCAATATCTTATATGTCATTCTTCTCTAAAATAAATACTGCCTACTTGTTATGTCTATGCTACATTTTAGGAACTATTCTCTCGCTTCTTATACTTTCTCCATGCTGTAATGGAGTATGGGACTCTTATAACTACATAACTTATCTCACTAACCCAGAGTCATGGTACTTACAGAGACTTTGTCTGCAAGATTTAAGTAAAAATTCTTTTTCTAAATGGTCTCTTTCAGGTACAAATATCTGGAATTGGGTACAACTATAGCAGTACTTGTTGTCATGGTCGTCTCGTATGCTGCCGTAATCTACCAAGTTAGAAGTATTCACAGTCAATTCGAGGTAGGAGATCGCTGAATGCTATACCAATGCACGAGCGTTATAGTAACTCTTTTGATTTAGCCAGCTACAAACACTGCTTTCAACAGCAGGGAGCGAACCGCCAAAAAGGAGTTGCGCTTACTTTTTCAGGTGAGCTACCAGTCTCTGTCGAAAAGTGACGAGCCGCTAATAATTCACGTTCTTGTATTCCGATTAAGATCTGCTTCCTCCTGTGAACAACATTCAGGGTGGAAGTCCAGGATGACAATTTACAAAGACTTATTCTTTGGTGAAAATAAGGCCTGATTATAAAAGTTCCAAGATGGGTGTCAGAAAAGTAGCGTTGACTGCAGTCGTCAGCGATTTCATGCACTTTTTTCGAACGTTAGCAGCTAGGGGTTCAATATCTTTAAAAAGATTTATGTTCATCAAAAATTTGACTTATGACTTTTAGTCCTCTAACCATAGGTCCTCTAAAAACAGCACGTTCCTCAAAAGAATACGGGACGCGTCCTTATATTTCTATAGTATAGGTCATTCATAAAATCGTGACGACGGATTTGACTGCGGCCTTTGCGCCCACAGGAACAGAAAATACTCATACTAGAGGCCTCATCTCAACTCTCAGCTAAGTCACTTCCAATGGCTTGATACTTTCACACATAAGCAGAAGAACCATAAGAATAGAAACAAAACCCATGAAAGCGCCGTAGACGGGAGTGCGTGCTTGTCGCACGCGTCGCGCTATCGTCAAGATTTTTCACATGCCCTATATCCGCTTTGAACGTAGGTAACACTTTTTGTGGCTTAATTCAGCATCTTGATTTTTGGAAGCATGGACGACGCCTTATTGTTCAAAGAATTTGCCTTCCCCTTCCAGAAGTCTATTCAAACGAAAATATCCACTGCATTCTTTGTTGGAAATATGGCAAATCGAAAACTTTGCTCATTTATCGACCGCTCCCCAAAATTTTAACAAGCATTTAGTCAGGATTGCAGGTCGAAAACAAAATTTGGTACAATAGCATTTTGAAATAATGGAGACTTACTTGCAGTTCATCGCTGTGTCACTGGTTTATGTATTTACATGGATATCATGGCAATGGCTACCCTACGTACCACCATCCAAATGGGTATTCTTCCTTTCAATGACATTTTCATTGTTAAACGTGGCGGTATGTCTCCTCCGAAAAATCTTGCTGAGCCTTCGCTCATTTTATTCTAGGCTAAACCGACCATTTATCTAATGTTTAACGAAACTTTGCGCCAGAGACTGATTGTTATCAGGCATAGATGGCACGGATCCGCAATTGCGACTATCACTGCAAGACCATCACACATGAGAACGGTAAGCAGTGAAAAGAAGGTTTTATTTATAGATCTTTGTTTTTCAGTACTGACGATATGTTTGGCTGCCTCATAATAGTTCGAGGGCAACTGCGCTGTCAGTCGTTTAGTGCAAATGAAACAATATGTTTTCTCTGAATAAATTGGTTCATGTCAAGATTTTCATGAATTACAACTCTATGTTTTTATCTCAAAATATAATGGACGATGGCTGAAAAATGTCAAAGGCTGCGAAAACATTCCTCTGCGTAACTCTTTATCTTATATATAAAGCTGAATGTCTGTTTGTCTGTATGTCTGTATGTCTGTATGTCTGTATGTACGTATGTTCCGAATAGAAAATTCCATTTCTGAACCGATCGGGACCAAACTTGGCACACATACACTTCGGGCCCCGGCGGGTGTCATAGGCTACTTTTCGTATCGATCGATATCGATTTTATCGATTTTTTGCAAAAATTGAGCTACAGGGCTGGGAGTTAGCACAGGGGGGTAAGTGAGCATGGGAATTCCGAATACAATATTAGTTTTTTAAAATCGTGCATTACTTTTATCGATTTTATCGATTTTTTTGCAAAGTTTGAGCTACGGGGCTGGGGTTTGGCACAGGGGGGTAATCGAGCATGCTGATCACCCCCGTGGGGGTGATCAGCATGCTCGATTACACCCCCCCCCCCTGCCAAATTCCAGCCCCCTAGCTCAAATTTTGCAAAAAAATCGATAGAATCGATAAAAGTAATGCACGGTTTCGAAAACTAATATTGTATTCGTAATCAGCATGCTCGATTACCCCCTGTGCCAAATTCCAGCCCCCTAGCTCAAATTTTGCAAAAAATCGATAAAGTCGACATCGATCGATAACGAAAAGTGGACTGTGACACCCGCCGGGGCCCGAAGTGTATGTGTGCCAAGTTTGGTCCGGATAGGTTAAGAAATGGAATCTTCTATTCGGAACATACGGCGGAGCCGGGTGAGCCAGCTAGTCATCAATAAAGCGTACTACTTTGGGGACGATAAAAATGTTCAAATTGGGCAGTCTTGAGTAGTCTGGCAAAAAGAAACGAATAATGGTTATCAAGGGAGTTAGAATGTCGCACATACAAAGTGTTTTAATGGTACTTACAAGGAAGAGTTCCTGAGTCAGCTCGGCTAATCCGGATGACTCATACATTACCGTAACGGGCTTGAAATCCTGATTCCAAATCTGCTTTCCTTTTCTGCGGAACGACTATACGAAAGTAGTCATGAGGGTTCGAAAGTTTGAATTTGTCATGTTTGAAGTGGCTTATAAAATTAGCGAAAAGCTCTAAAACAACACTTAGCGAACTTCCAGTGGCTGTTCTCCGTCCTTGTAGTCAATATACTTAATACAAAACTGAAACCCACTTTTACGTGATATTGTACAGCTTTCGCGAATTCTACGCTACTCAAGGATTGGCAAATTTGGACTTTCAAACGTTGATAACTTCTTTTGTAGAGTTGTTCCGCAGAAACCAAAAGCAGATTTGGAATACGCGTTTCAAGTCCGTTACGGTGATGACTCATTCGAGTTGGCCAGCTGACTTGGGAACTCTTCCTTGTTAGTGTTTGGTCGATGATAACACTCTTGTTGATGCCACTTGCGGAGTATTACGGTAGAGTCCTAAAACCTTAAAGGCAGCGTCCGGGCAAGATTTCGGATAGATTTTTTTTTGCTTATCTGGGCTTATCCTTCCCGCTGATTCCGAAAATGCAGCTTGGAGAGCACGAAAACGTCGAAAACGGGCTTTTCCAGAAGCTCTTAATTCGAATTTTATCGGCTGCCGCCAAGACGCAAAGTCTTTGTGGGACCTTACGTCTTGACTGTGTGCGGTATGCGCACTGTAGCTTATCGAACTAACTCGTCCCCGGTCGCCGGGGCGTTCCGGTCGCCACTTCTGAAGCGGTTTTCTCGCTTCAGAAGCAAATTGGCGCATTGCCAATTGGGCAACAGCTTTACCAGGACGGGCGCCCCAGTACTCTACATTTTCGTTTTTGCCCGGACGCTGCCTTTAACTTGAAAATAAAGTAGCTGCTCACAAAATATTCAAGACTTAGAAGCAAAAGGATGGGGTAAACAAGCATCCCGTTTTACTCAAGCGTAGAAAAAACTTAACTTTGCATGACTGTCATGGACAGTGTACAGGTAAGATGGACGCCTGGATTTCTTATATGGAATTCGATCAGGGAAGCGGAGTTATTGGCTTGGCTCTTACTTCACTAAATGGTTTTGTAATTTATAGATTCAAATTCAAGCTATGATCAAGTCAAACCTTCTACCGTATTCAAACGCTGATTGGTCACTTTAGTGTTCGTGGTCTCAATTGGAGTTTGAAGTTGAATTTCACAGTTACATGATTTACACGATGTGCCTATTAGGCGATAGCTCAACTAAAGCTTCCCGAGCAGTGGCCCTCGAAAAAGTGCAAGTACCTGAATTTGTTTACAACTGCCTTCAAGCACATATTTTGTACGAATAGCAGCACTTGGTTGGGAGCCTTTCTCGAAAAAAAGTTCCAGTCTTAGTGGCCATGATCTACCTCGCTATCGTAATACTTCAGTACCGAACCAGCCAACGACTTCTTCCAAACCGCATATTTCAGATAAATCTACTGTCAATCCAAACCCATGAGAGATAGAGGCGAGAGAGTTATTACAGAGCAAACAATCGCCATATTCTTGAGACATGTTTAATGCGTCGTATGTATGTACTATAATCACCACAGACATACAAAATCGACCACTTTTTGAAAGTTGTCTTTGTTTGTGTTGTTTCGTTTTTGTTTTATCTCATTTCAAGCTCCACCATTCTCGCAAAAGTCGTAAACCTCACATTCTTGCAGAAATTGTGAACCTTACAGCTCCGTGTTGTCTCATGACAGAGTGAGCACAATACTAGAGTCGTCCAATGGTATGCCACTCTACTGCGTATATGTGCAACAAGCTTCACAAGAACATCCCGAGATCAAGTTGTGAAGTCCTTCTGCTTTGCTGGGACATTTCCTCGTTTACGGGTTTCTCCAGTTTTTCATACGCGCTTTAAAGTCGAAAAAACTTATTCTTTTTGTTCTTGTAAAGTTTGCCCCTTGGAAGAAAACCTATTTCAGTAAGTATTTTGTATAAAAGCTTGCTCGCCAAGAAGCTGGAAATGTCAATGAGGTGATAAATATTTTCGATCTAATTTTGCTTTTTTCCTAGGATTTGCTAAACATTAGCCGGTCTCATAAGAGGCCTTATTTGCGCCCCTGGTGCCCAGACCCCCCGATCTTTCCTGGGTCCAGGAGACCATGTTGCATCTCTCCTGTGCATTTCATCATGACCGGGTTTAATAAGCCAAGCACTCACCTTCCTCCACTACGTTGTAAAGAATCGAAATAAATTATTAGGCTGGAAACTAAGTTTTGCAACTGGTTTCAAAACTTCACTCTCTTTGGATATGGCGCACTCAAACTTAGGCATTATGTAGAAGGCAATGTGAGCTACAGGTGAGCGCAAACTGTCTAAATTTTGAACACGAAATAGAAAAGTTTCAGGCGTTTTTCGAAAACTAGTTAAATTTGAGAATTTTTGGGTTAAGCCAAAATGCAGCCTTTGGCAGCCTAGACCATGCGCAGTAATCCGGATTCGTCTACAAATTATTGCTGGAGGTTGACTCCTTTGTTCTAGTAAGAAAGAAACAAAATTTAGGGACATGTCGAGATTTGGCGTCCTCATAAAGTCGAACGAGTCGATGTACGCAAGAGCTGCTGGGACGACCGTCAAGACTAAAGAGTCCGAGGCTCAAATTCCGCCGAGACTTTGCATAGTAAGGTTATTTGACCTGCCAAAAGCGAATATCACATTCATTTGTTGAATCAACGCCTTCTTCCTTGTTTAGGGTGAGACCCCATATCGTACACCAACACTAATCCTGCAAAAAAGCCCTTATCACGAAATTTCACTATCGTCGTGAACAGCAGGAGGATAACACCACTTGGCATAGGGTGTTATCCTACAGCAGTGTAGGATAACACCCTATGCTAAGTTTCAGCCAAATCCGTCAAACTTTGAATTTTTCCCCTTCATACCATGCAACTACCGTAACCCTCGCTGCGACGTTAGGATTTGGTAGGGTAGCAGCTGCGCTTATAGCTTACGTAATAACCAACGCAGTGGCAAAAATTGAGTGCGCCTTGTTGAGTGAGAGGGAAGTTATGAGACCAGTTGCAAAACTTAGTTTCCAACCTAATAAGACCTCTCGATAATGATTTTGAATGATTTATTCAATATCAAGTTTGCCTCGTTTGGGAAGATTCATTCATGAACCAAAATCACGATGGAGCTCTCCTGCATCAAGACATGTGGATCCAAAAAAGAAGTTCAACGTGGAAACCACAACGGACAAAGACAAACAAGGAGTTTAAGAAAAATGTAGTTTGTAACCGGGGGTGGTCTAGTGGTATAACGGTTTCAACCGGATCGGTAGACTGCACGGATCGAACGACTAATAATATATCTCAGAAAAAGGCAACGAACCAACAAACAAGAACGTGTAACTTGAACAAGGACAACGAAGCGACGGGCTTTACCCTCTTTGACCACTTCGGCAGGTTTACTAGATACTCTCTATCTAAAGGGGATATCCGCCTCTCTTCGACGGCTTTAGCTCCCGCTAGCGCTTCCTCAGCGCAGTCTGAGACCTCCCCCTTTCTCCCGGTATTTATACCCTGCCGAAGGGGTCAAGGCGGGCTTTACTTCCCGCCACTGAAGATCGGTAGGTCTGTGATCCGCGCCCTCTGACAAGTTTGACAATGAAAAGGACCCAGATAAGCTTTTCAGTAAGCATTTGGTATTAACCAAAATCAAACATTTCAAACTGAATGTTTGAAATAGAATCCTGATATCAATTTTATGTAGAAAGATGACTTATCTTAGCTATCTCCATCCATCCTTACTAAAAAGTTCCGGGATGGCATAGTTACAACACAATACTTCGTCTAATGATAGTAGGAGTTCTCAAGTTATATATAATGATATAATTATAATTATAAACATT